GCTGTGTGTGTCTGTGTGTGTGTCTGTGTGTGTGCAGCTGTGTGTGTAGGTGATGATGTGCCTGTGTATGGCGGTGCCCATGTGCTCTGGTGAAGCACTTGGTACAGGCAGGTATGAACACCTGCTCTGGGCTGCACGCACACACAGGGGACCAGGTGCCACCCTCAGCCTGTACCTGCCACAGTGTCTGGGCAAGGCTGGAGCTTGAGGAAAGGAGGACCCTGATGAAGTAAGGAGTGAAGCAGAAGAGGATACTTCTGAGTACAAGATCCCTGGGTCCCCCRGGCTGACTCAGGAGCCAAGGGATCTGTGGGAAATGGCTCCTGCCATTGTGGCGACATTTGCAATCATCTGAGATCAATGATGGCAACTGGGAGAGGACTGGGGAGAGTCAATGTCACTGCTGGCTTCTGGAAGTGTGTGAAGGGGGATGTGAGGCCAGTTTGCTTCACCTTCATCCTGGAAAGATGACAGAGCAGTAAGTTGTCGGAGCACATGAACAAYAACTTCTTGAGGGGTCAGTTTGGCTTCTCCACACATGTTTGGCCACCTGGCCACCTTCCATGATGGAGTGAGCAGCTGGCAGACATAAACAGCAGGGGACAGTGTTCATCCACACTGCTTGGAGGCGYCGGGCCCATCTGCTTCTCCTAGGGAAGCTGTTGGCATACAGGCTGGATAAACAGAAGCTGGGGTAGGATGACAGGTAGAGATCAGCCACACATGATCCTGTGGAAGGCCAGCCACTCGTGGTGTCCCCACAGGTCCATGCTGGGCCCTGGCCTGTTTAACATCCTCATCCCATCTGGATGGCATGACAGGGCACCCTCAGCAACTGTGCAGATGACAGCAAACTGGGAGAAGTGGCCGAAAAAACAGAGGATCATGTGTTCATCCGGAGGGACCTGGATAGGCCAGAGAAATGGACCATCAGGAATCTTCTGAGGCTCAACCCGGGAGCATGCAGGGTCCTGCCACCTGGGAAGGAACAGCCCTGGCACTGGGATGTGCTGGGGGCCACCCTGCTGGAAAGCAGTTCTACAGATGGATAAGAGGTGCCTGGGGGGCACCACACTGACCATGAGCTCAGCATCTCCTCAGGGCAAAGCAGGTGAATGACATCCTGGGTTGCACTGGGGGTGTTGTCAGCAGCTCACAGGAGGACATGGAGGCGGCTAGGAGAATATCCCTGAGTGCTGTGTCTCGTTCAGGGCTCCCAAGAGCACGTCCTGGAGACATGGGCATGCTGGAGGGAATTCAGTGAAGGGCCCCAAGGAAGAATGGCTGGAGCATCTTTCATATAAGGATAAGCTGTGAGGCCTGAGACTGTCCATCCCAGAGCAGAGGAAGCTCAGGGGGTTCTCATCCATTTATATAAATATCTGAAGGGATGTGTAGAGGACAGAGACTGGCTTTTCCCAGTGTTGCCTAGTGGCAGGACCAGAGGCCACGGGCACAAACTAGAATGTGGGAGGGTCCCTCTGCATGTCAGGAAACACTTTTCCTTGGCCCAAGTTGCCCAGGGAGGTGTGCAGTCTCCATCCTCGGAGATTCACAAAAGCCACATGGACCCTGTCCTGGRCCCCTGGCTCTGAGTGGTCCTGTCTGAACAGGTGATGGGACTGGAGACCCTGGAGCTGCCTTCATCATCCCAAGACCCCACGACCTGTGTCTGGGTTGTGCCTGTGCATGGGTTTGTGTGCAGCTGCAGTGTTGGTACCAGTCTGTGCACAGGGTGTGTGTGTGTGTGTGCTGGTGCTGGTCTGTGCACAGTGTGTGTGTCAGTGTATGCGTGTGCATTGATACCTGAAAAGTCTAGAAATAAAACCACACAGACCAGTGTCTATAGAGCAGGCATTTGTTTATTGCAACGCTGGGGTGCAGTGCTGTAGGTGAGGGGATCTCTCCTAACTCACCTACCCTCGCTTAAAATTGTCACTTATTTATACAGTAAGTATTGCTTAACATTGTCACCGTCACAACATCCACCACCATATATGGGTACAGAAATACATGGCATCACAGTTTGGCATGTGAACCTGCACCATCCTGAATTCGGTGGTCGGGAGGGTCTCCCTCTAATGAGAGACTATACTMATCTTTGCCTGTGGACTTTCCAACTTTRTCTTCAGAGCATGCACAGTCATGGTGTTCCATGGTTTTTCTAGTTTTCAAGGTCTTCATGTTCCATTTTCCTGCTAATTGTCTTACACATCKGCCAAGTTCTCATTAGTGCATTCTACTGTTTCTTGATATAGCATCTACTTGTCTACTTCTGCCGTATGGTTACCTACTTTTTGAAATATTCTTCCTTGTCCAAGCATTAAGTAACTGGCTTAACTATATCCAGCTGGTACACTGTATGAGTAACCATAGCTATATTTAGCTGATATACAGTATGCCACTAATACACTATATGAAAACCTTTTTATATATTGTTATAAGTTATTATTGATAATATATKAAAAGCTCTCATATGCTATACTGATATTTATGTAAAAAGCTACTACATTSTATATAAAGTTTTCAATCAATAGGCCTTATAAGTATCTTGTAACCTTGACTGAAACCACATAGGTATCAGCGTGTGCGTGTCTGCGCTGTAACTCGCAGGAATCGGGACCCACTGTACACACGTGTGTGCGCATGCCCGTGCACGTGAGTGCGCGCGCGCACGGATGCGCGTGTATTTGTGTGCGCACGTGCTTGTGCACGCGGGTCGCTGCGCATGCGCGGTGCCGTGCGCGCGCCCGGGGCAGGCCCGACGTGGCAGCGGCGGGAGCGATGCGGGCCCTGCCCCCGGGACCGTGTCTGTGGCTGCTGCTGGCAGCGGCGCTGGCGGCGGGTGGCGACTCGGAGCACTCCCGGCTCCGCGGGGCCGTGCTGCGGGATCTGGCTCGGGGCAAGGTGGAGGTGAGCGCGGCCGGGGGCCCCGGGGGGCGCCGRGGGCCAACCGGTGCTCTCTGGGTGCCTGACGGGGTGTCCCCTCCTGCAGACCTGCGGCGGATGACGGCTGAACCGCCTCAGGGAGGTACGTACCGGGACCGGGCCAGGGCCAGGGCCAGGGCGGGGAGCCGGGGCTCCCCCGTGCTGAGCCGGGCCGGGTCGGCCCCTCTCCGCAGGTGAAGGCGTTCGTCACCCAGGACATCCCGCTCTAGTACCCGCCAGGGCCTCTGCCGGAGTGGAGGGGATGGGATGGGGTAGGATATACGAGGTGGTGAAGTATGGGAAGGGTTGGGCTGAGGGAGGATGGGGTTTGGTGAGGAATGAAGAACAGGGCTTGGTGAGGAGTGGAGGATGGGTGGTTGGGGATGTGATGGAGGAGGGGATGGTATTACATGGGGGACAGAATGAGATGGTATACAATGAAGGATGGGATGGGGGACAGAACACATGGGATGGGAGAGAATGGGATACAAGAGCAGATGGATTGGGATGGAGGATGGTACAAGACAGGCAGGAATGGGATGTGAGAGAGGATGGAAGGGGATATGATGGGAGGCCAGGATGGGATGAGGGCTGCRTGGGCCTGCCCAATACTGCTCACTCCTTGACACATTGCCCAGCCATAACCTGGAGATGAAACACCTGCCTGGTGCTGACCCTGAGCTTGTGCTACTCAACCACCGGTATGAGGAGCTAGAGGTGAGTGGGCAGTGTGGTACSTGCTGCTGCAGGGCCTGGGGTGGTCAGTGCCCCACAGGTGCCAAGCTGCAGCCTCTGTCTGGGTGCAGAGAATCCCCCTGAGCGACATGACCCGGGAAGAGATCAACCAGCTGGTGCAGGAGTTGGGCTTCTACCGCAAGGAGACACCTGATGCCCCTGTGCCAGAAGAGTTCCAGTTTGCCCCTGCCAAGCCTCTGCCAACGGTAATGCCTCCCCAAGCACCCACTGCTGATGGCAAGACCCCACCCAAACGTGACAAGGAAGAACACCCAGACCTCTAGCAAGGAGTGCCACACTCAGGACAGGGTCCTGCAGCCAGGCCCCAGTGTAGGAAATGAGGGTGTTACAGCAGCTGGGGATGGCGTCACAGTGTGGCAAAGGTTTTCCCCCCTCCACCTGCTTAGTGTTGTGTAGCCTCTGCCCTGAGGATGCCCTAGGCAGATCCAGCCTCAAGCAGAGGCTTCCTGTTGGCATTCSAAGGGTGCCATGTGCTGGTTGATGCCCTCCTTAATGTCCTTGGAGCCCATTATCCCTGGCCAGTCGGGAGGAACAGCATTCCTTGCTGTGCCCAGAGGTTTAACAGCTCCCAGCACTGGGCAGCAGTATCCTGCCTGCATGGGACAGGATGAAACCCTCAGCAGAAAGTGTCAGGTGCTAAGGGTAGATATGCTGAGTCCCAAAGGTGGGAGAGCTGCCCCAGGAAGGGGGCTTTACTTCCCAGTAKGGTTATGTCGTATCCAGCTCCTAGTAAAGCTTTTATGTGTGGTCATCTCCACTGTGTCATCTTTTCAGAGAGGGCTCAGTAGGGTGCGTCCCTATTCTGAGGGGAGCTGGGTGCACCAGAGTTTCTCACAGAGGCAGAAGAGGATGGCATGGTCACAGTCACTGCTGGTGAGCCACAAACTAATGGTGCTGTTCCTGTGCCACCTCTCCCCAGCATGATAGAGGGATGAGGGTGGTGGGCACTGTGGCATGGGATGAGCTGCTCTCACAGGGTGCAGGGGGATGGGCATGAGCCCATGACCAAGTCCTTCAGTGTTGAACCAAAGCCAGGCTGCACTGGCTCAGTGGGGACATCTGACCTCGCTTGGGAGGTGTAGCATRGTTGCACTTCACCAGCCTTCCTGGCCGTGTGGTCTTTCCTCTGTGCCAGGCCTGGGGTGATAGACCAGGCAGTGAACCAACAGCCCTGGTCATCATCAATGAGTGGAGGAACAGTATGTGCCCCTGGAGGGAGCAGTGGAATTGCAGGTGGAGGGGGCAGGAGCAGCTGGACTGCCTGTGCTACCCAAGCACTCTGGTGTGCAATAKGCCACTGGCAGAAGGACCTGAGCCAGAGGCATTGCCCTAGGTAAACCTTTATTATCTGGCTGGTGTTGGTACACGTCAGCGCGGGTGTAGAGATGTGACAGAGGGGCAAGTGGCGCTGAGCACACAGGGGCTCTGAGCTGGAGAGGGTAGTGGGGACAACTGTCCCAGCTCACTCCTTTGGCCTTGTGTTCCCCTGGAACCCCTTGCCCCTGCCCACTSCCCAGCCCACAGGTTCCGCAAACCTCAATGTGAAAATGCCCCAGGTGCACGTGGCGGTGGGAAGCAAGGTGTTGGTACAGTTGTGGAGCTGTTCCCGGGGAGGTGACAACCAAGCAGGGCCTGCAGTGGGCAGAGGGGCTTCCTCGCAGGGGGCCAAGGGAACCACTGACAAGTGCTGCCTGCAGGATGCACCATGACCCTGGCTGGACTGCACATCCCTGCTCAGCCACAGACCCGGGCAGTGCCCCAAGCGTGAGGGCACAGCTGTGTCTGGGCCTCCYCAGGGACACAGGGATGCTGCCTGCAGGGCAAACAATTCCTGGAGAACAAATAACTTAAAAGGCTGGAGCATTGGGGGGCAAGCCAAGCTGGAAGCATCCCTGGCAGTGCCCACCTGGCTCTGCCCACAGGGTCAGCCTGCAGCTAGCCGAGGCAGAGGTGTGGGAGTGCCCTGGTAGAAGAGTTCTCCTGTCCCCAGTGCCAGACCCATGGTCCCCCAGACCTTCTCGGGGCAAGCAGCTCCCCTGCCTGCAGGCAGATCTGGGTAAGGGCAAGTGGGAGTGGGCAGGGCAGGCTCTAGCACTCTTTCTGCCGCATGCGCAACTCGTGGCGACGCAGGTGGTTATAAAGGGACTGCACGTAGGTGAAGACGCACTTGGCGTCTGGCTTCTTCCCCATGATCATCATGTCTTCGACCTCCACCAGCGGCACGCAATCCACCAGCGTCCTGCAGAGATGAAGCCTTCAGCATGGCCKCAGGCAGACTGCCCTGTGTGGGGGCTGGGATGGACACCCCACAYTGCCCATGGCCTGCTGATGTTGGATACTGCTGCTTTCAGACCTCCTTAGCTCCTTCAACASCCCCATCCACCTTCTCCTGGTATAACAAGTCCTGCTACTCGTTATACTGGGAAGAGCATGTGCTGTCTGCCCTGGGAGCGGTCTGCCCTAGGGCAGGGGTTGCCAGCTGTCTGCATCCCTTGCTCCCCTGCTGCTCTCCATCCCAGCTCTTGCTGCTGGCAGTCATCCCCTGCTGAAGCCATGCCCCACCCTCCTGCTCTTGCTCCTCCAACTGATGCTGGTGGCCTCTAGGGAGAGCCCKGTCTGGGTGCAGATGTCTGCTGTGCCCCTGCTTCAAACCCCACCAAATAGTTGAGGGCAAGCAGGGAGTGGGTATTGGTCACATGCTGGGCCTTACTCCTACCTCATGCCCTGRCCCTGCTCTTCTCCCTTTCCCCAAGCCCTGCCAGCCCAACTCCCACCTTTACCCTGGGCCTGCCCCAGGACCTAGCACAGCCTATTGCTGGAATAGGCACTGCCCTGTCTCAGCCCACTCAACCTGACCTGTKCCTATCTCCTCCTCTCCCTGCCCCACCACAGGGTAGGGGTTCATGCAGGATCCTGCTTGAGCAGCTACCAGTCCTGTGGGGCCCTGGCAGATCAGCTATGGTTGTGCCCCCATCCCCATAATAGCCTTGGGGGGCTCTGCTACTGCCCTYTCATGTGGCCCACTCTGTCTTGCCATGCATCCAGTTCTCTGTGCCACATCTCTCCCCAAGTAGGGGCTCCCTGGGTTCTTCAGGGGCCTGACAACATAATTAGGGGTCACTATGACAACCAGGAAGGGCATKGAGAGCATCCAGCCACCTTTGTACTGTCCTGTTTCTACTGGGAGAAAAGGAGCAAGGGCACAGAAGCAACCCTGCCACCGCTGCCAACCCTCCTAGTCCTGCCCAGGCTCCCACACCCCTACCAGGCACAATCCCCCTTTCAGGGGACAGATGATGCTGGGGTATGCTATGCTGCTGGGGTATGCTATGCTGCTGCTGCTGCTGCTGGAGCAGGGGCTGCACTGGCACTGGGGCTGTGCTGACACAAACTGGCAGCACCTGCTGCAGCCATGGCCAGTTCAGCTGCTTTGGCCTGGCCCACTCAGTGTTCTGCCCCAAGGCTGCACAAGGAGAATCCCCCAAAAGACAGGGTGCACAAGAAGGGTCTGAACCCTATGCTGCCACCCACCAYAACACCCTCACCACCAAGCCATGTACCTCCCCTCGCCCCCTCCTGCAGAAGCCCCACTACACAYATTTGCCCCCTAGAACAGCCCCACCCTGCCCTGAGGAGTGACCTCAGCCAGTGCCAGCCCCTGGGGTGCACTAGGGCCCAGGAGAGCCTCCCCATCCTGGGTCCCATGGCCCCAGCCATCCCATGGGGTCTCTGCTCTGCTGCTCTCATCAGTGGGCTCCAAACCACAGCCTGGCTGGCACCAGCTCCACATCATGCTTTGGCCACTGTGGGGATGGGGGGGAGGGGGGCAATGCTTGGGGCCTTGGGAAAGCCCTTGCCACTGCCAGCCTGGATCAGGGGATAATGGTGGAGCAATGGAATGCACAGAAAGCGGCTCTGCCCTTATAAAGCCATTGTTTGGGCCCTGGTGTGCCAGCACTGTGCAGAGCCAGGGARGCTGGAGCTCCAACACCAGCCAGGATGCCCTGAGACAGGCACAAACATTTCAGGATGAGGCAGAATCTGAGCCTTGAGTCACATTTTCCAGGCTCCTGCTTCTGCCCATATATGAGCAGGCAGCATCTTGGAGCTGGGCATGTACCTTGGGGCAGGGGAATGGGGCAGCAAGTGTAAGCAGTGATACTGCAGCATCCTGGAGGGCCACCCACACTCAGGCAGCACCATTCAGAACACTGCAAAGTGGCATCCCAAGCAGCTGGTCCCAGGGTCAGGCTCAGCCATGTGGGGAGGGCGCTGTTCTCACTACTGCCCTCACCACAGCTGGAGAGCCAACAGCACTCCAGGCTGACACAACCCCCCCTGCCCAAACCCCCACTAGCACTATTCCARAAGGCCTGAGCCCATACAGCTGTCTCTGCCCATCTCCTAGCCACAGCTGGAGATGTGGCACTGCCAGGACTCGCCCCTCACCCACCAGCATCCCCCAACCTCGTCCCCAGCCACAGCCGTCACTTCCCTGCCGAGCCCTGGTGGTGGTGGGGCACGGGCAGGTACKTGAAGGGGAAGGTTCTCACCATTGGTCCTGAGGGGGGTGACAATGGGCTACGACTTTTTGGTTTTTACCAGCCCCTTCTGGACCAGGCAGCGATAGAATTCCTGAATGTAAGTGTACACACACTTCCAATCTGGCTCGCGCATCCGGACCATGTCCTCCACGTCCAGCAACTGTGGACAGTCCGCGTGCTTCCTGGGTGCAGGGAGAGAGAGGGGCAAGCCAGTGACCGCAGCCCAGTCAGGGAGGGGAAGAAGAGAAAACAAGAGACACAGATCAGTGCAGTTCCCGTCTTACTGCTCTGCTCTGGCATGCTCTGGGGATGTGCAATGCAGGGGCAGGAGGGCTCCGGGCACCCCATGCCAAGGCCATTCAGTGAGACTGGGGGGGCACAAGCAAAGGGGAGGGGGGCAGGTGAATGGCGTGGAGAGGCGTGAAGTCCAGAGGGAAAGACAGATGGAAGAAGAGGRGGAGGGAGGAGTGAGGTGTTCTGGCGCGCCAGGTGCTCAGGGKGCGGGTTCCAGAGTGGAGTGGCGCTCTATATAGCTCCTATATAGACCCGCTGGGAAGATGGGGGGCAAGCCCAGCCCTCCTGCCCAGCTCCACTTGGAACCACGCGGCACAGCCCTGGTGCAGGAAGCTCGGGACAGGATGCTCACAAGAGCTGGAGGAGGAGGAAGGACGAGAGGCCACCTGGCTTCCAGGTCGGAGAGATCGATGGCTCTCTCAAGTCCGCACACCAGTTTCCCAATTAAGGCAAAAAGTCCATTAACAGGAGCGCCAAGAGCCAGACCCACAGCCCCCTTCTCGCTCCACCAAACAGCACCACGGCACCCTGGGAGCTTGTGGGAGCCCCTAGCTCACCCCGCCACCTTGGATTTCAGCAGGATGGGACCCCTCCCAGCCCTGCCCCCAGGCAGGGTGCTGGAGGAGTAGGTGGGTGGGAGAGAGACAGAAGGAAGGAGAAAGGGGCTGGCTGCCAGCCCTCCAGCTGGGCGCATGCCCATCTCTCAGCACCAGGAAAACCAGAAGCAAAAGGGGAAGAGACTGGAGAAGCTGCAATGGTGTTTGAGCCCCTACAACTATGAAAGGAGGCACTTGGCAGGGGAAAACCCTCCTCCCCSCAGGCTGCAGTCCCACACCTGGTACCCCAGGATGAGATGTACTGCCTGAAGCCAGGTGAACTTGTGGGGCTGCTCCTCTGCCTTTGGGTTCTCTGC